AGTCTTGATAGCTGGACCCATCGGCTTGCTGGTCTCGCTCTATCGAACTCGGCTTGCCGCCTCCCCGAACCTTACAATGGAAACGCTTCATGCCAGCTTCAAGGTCACTCGAAAGGCAGATGAAGACTACGTCCCGCCGGGAAGGTTGCGGAGCTATGACCTTATTATCTTTGATGAAATCTCCCAGATTGACGCCCATGTCTGGAGACTTCTTCAAACAGCCCTGGCAGACTTGCACCCACAGCCCTTCGTGGTGTTCGTTGGAGATTTTCAACAGCTGCAGCCCATCACAGGACTGCCGCAGTTGCAGTTGGACCTCGAAAGGCAAACCTCCAAGAACTTGCTGCCAACAATCGAGCTCCAACCCCACGCGGCAGCTCGCTCCACTGACCCCGTCATGCTGGACTTCCTGGGTTTGGTTCGCACAACACAACCCCCTCGGGCAACACTGGAGCATTTCTTTCGCAATCGGATCTTTCCCAAGCAGCCTGACCTGGCTGCGCAGCAAGCTCGAGCTTTCGAGATCGAGAGTGGAGAGAAGTTCACGTTCCTCACCGTGACGAATCCGGGGGCTTATAGACTGAACATAGAATGCCTGAAGCTCGACTATCCACAAGCTGCTGCTGCACTCGCAGCTGGCGCAGGCTACCCCGCGGATAGCAGTTCCGGGCAGGACAGAATTCTGGTGGAAGTGGGCATGCGCCTGCGGCTGACTCGGAATCTGGACAAGGATCGAGGCTTCGTGAACGGCAATCTCGGAATTGTGGAAACCATGCTGCGGCCGGATGTGTTTGTCGTCAAGACCATGCAGGACGTTTTGATCTTAGTCCATCCCATCACTGTGAGAGGCCGCAAGTTCATTCCAGCCTGTTATGCCTATGCTACCACGATTCGCCGGGCACAAGGGGCTACGCTGGCGGCCGCTTGTCTCCGCTTCGATCGACCACGCCCAGATCGAGGCTACGCCTACGTGGGGGCGTCAAGGGTGAAATACCATGGTCACTTGTTCCACATGGGCCGGCTTCGGCGCACGGACTGGCTGCCTGTGAACGGCGACCCAGACCACGAGCAGTTGGTGCCGAGTGCAATCAGTGAATCCACCGACTCGGAGCAGGAGCACGAGCCTGATACTACCTCGGACACGGACCCAGACCCTAGTAACGATGACTTTCCCAGCTCATACAGTGACCCGAGCTTCGAACCTAGCTGGGGCAGCGACAGCGATTTCAGTAGCTGACCGCGCCGTGTGCACTTTCAACGACTGTACAAATGTGATGCCAGTCTCGCTGTGATGCCAGTCTCGCTTGCCGTGCCATAAATAGCCGAAAGCTTGCTTCCTGCTGTTTGCATTCATCTGGGCCGTACTGACACTTCGACTTGATGCAGAAATGCACCTTCCCAGAAACATGCCATAGTATTCTTTCGATAGTATATGATTCCTGGAGACACGAAAGCTACTTCGACTTGATGCAG